ATTGAAAGCAGAAACAAACTCACACCCACACACAATACTGGTTACGCCGCTTAACAGTTAACTTACACGTGACCACGCAGAAGATGAATACAGGTTGGGATTTTTTTCGGGGGATTGTAAACAAACTTCGTTTTGATGTAGTCAAAATTGAATTAGCACTTTCTTGAGAAGTGACTGAAACGAAGCAGTGTTTATCTTTGTTCTGTGAGGACACGAAACAAATGAAACTGTTTGGCATCATTTTCAGTATTTTGTTGGTTAATGTTTCTTAATAATACCGGCGCACAGAGTTATCGTAGAATGCCCCTTTATCGTAGGATGCCCGTGTGATCGTATTTTTTGGTTATTGGAGAGTTTTTGTTTTGTGTTTTTTTAAATATGTAAACGTATTCTCTGAAGTCTTTTTCACTAACCTTGACTAACCTTGACGAAACCCCTCTCACACAGTGCAAAGAAACAGTCGTCCAAGGGTTGAAGTTAACGTTACTGTAATTCAGTGAAGTTCCTCTTTTCCCCAATAAACGGTGTTCGTGGCTGTGGGAGAATGAACCCTTTCCTGCTACCGGACTACCTTGACTCGGTGTCCCTGTCCTCGTCGACATGTGTGGCCCGGATGCTCGCATCGGGCCGTCTCCCGGCCGACTAAAAAAAAACTAGGCTGACAACACTATACACTTCCTCTGACGTGATTAGAGAAAACAATTAGGAGCCGAAATCCCAGCGAAATGCCCGCCAGATATTTACAGGTTGTGTGGTGGTGTCTCGACACCTGAAATTGGAATTGCTAACGAGGTGGAACCCTCTAGGTGAGAGGTTTGAGAGAAGTAATTGTTTCAGGTCTGTGAGGAGGCGAAAACGCGGAGATGGGATTGCGATGGATCGTTACAGTGGTAAACTGTGCTTTCATCTTAAAAACTAAAAAAAATGAAAAGGGAGACGATCTGTAAAAATCCAATAGAGTATGCACAAAAACCGCTGCTTGGACTTTAAGTTCAACCAAAAGGGTTCAACTTTCGGGACGTTTTCACGGGTCTTTCTGGGATGCATTCATGTACATGTACATGTATTCCTATACAAAGGACTGTGTTATTTAAACATTGTACATGTACATGTAGCCTAGTACCACGATCATGGTTTCTTGTACAAGTTAGCTTCACTTAAATGCAGAAAAAGGTACAGTATTATTACACCACCCCCCAAATTAAGGTGAGATTGGTTGTTTTAACACTAAGTTGTAAAACTAAGTTATAAAAAACCATGCCCCAAGGAATGATATACTGCTCGGAAAGAAATGCAATGTAAGATAGATAATTTGACTTATTCGCGCACATGCAGAGGGACACCTGATCACAGTCTGGTGAAACAAAGTAGACGAGTCCAGCTCAGGGTGAATCCAGAACCAACATTTTTCTTTCAAAAATCTTTTGGTTCCAACTGGCGAGGGGGCATGACCCAGTTGTCCCCCCCCCTTCCCGAGTCCAGCCCTTGATTACCTATATGACTGCTGGTCAACCAACTGGTTTCGGGCTGGAAATTAGGAGAAAAATAACCAACGAAAGTTTACTCCATCAATTTTTAATAATGTTCGTTAATTCGCTTGACTGTTTGTAACTTCAGACCTGGAGCGATGTGTTAAAAAAAACGCAATACAAGGAATGATGTTTTTGTCCCCTAAATGCCGTGTTTTCAAAGGCGATTGGACTGATGAAAGGTAGACATAATAACTATGGTCTGTACGATATTTATTTGTGTAGCTTGTGTACCTCTGTAATTGTTATAACAGGCTGTCAGGATATCGCCTCCAGTAAAGCTTGTTTCCCAATTATTTTGCCGAGATCTTGTTCCGATAAGCGTCATCGTGTTTCACGCTTGTCCCGGTCAAAAACTCGCCTGGAAGACACGCGAAATGGATCGATGTCCGTGAAGTCCGCTGAAAAGTCACACACGGCAGCGAACATGATCGGGGCGCGGGGCCGAGGTACATGTGGGGCCGCTCACAGGCTGAGGCCTGGACCCAGCACAACAGGCACGCTGCCGTACGTGTACTTACAGGGATGGGGTAGGGACCCTTGTTTGCCATCTGGTGTATCGAATGGTGTATCGAGAATAAGGAAGACTCCTCCGATGTCACGGACCTGGATCCAGTCACAGAACCGGCTCGCTTAATATGTCGCTCAGCGATGAGTTTACGAGCTGATCCAAAAATCAGCTAATGGAGCTGTGGAGATACACGTTGTGACATTGTCACTTGCAACCTGTTTGGCTGAGCACATTTTTTCCCCTTCATTTTGCAACTTTCCGAGGTCTCTTTGTCGTTCGCCCTCGCTATTGAACCTTGCGAATAGTGATGTAACGGCAGCCTCTGTCTTACTCCATCCAATCATTGTAGTCTTCTTTTGCTAAGTTTTGTAGTCTTATTTTGTGTGTGAGATCCCCCTCGACCAAAGCGTTACCAATCTGATTCATTTTTAGGATTAACTGTCATCTTTTCTGGAGTGTCCAAGTTATGAATGTTTCTTCCACAGAATATAGTCCTTGTTTATAAGATTCAAATTCTGATGCGTGTTTAACCCCGAAGGAGTTCCTCAGTAGGTTTCCCAGTATCACAGAGGCCTACGTGGAATCTTTTTTATTCATGTTTATCTTTATAACCTGATTGATTATTCATGTTTATCTTTATAACCTGAGGAGCCTTGTTCACAGTTTGATCATAATTTGTAAACGTTATTTTGGATAAGCTGTTTTCGCCAGATCCAGAAAAAAATAGCAAAGTTCTTCATCGACAGTACGCACAAGCCAAAAGTGCTGTGACGCAGGCCTTATTAACTGTTACAGGGTTCCTGCGTCTTTAAAACTGAAACTCTGCCCTCACCAGCTGTCCAAAAGTTCGAAGAGATTCGTGGAACTGAGAATGAGAAACCAGTCGCTGACCAGGTGAACTGCTTGTCTTTACTCGAGTTGTATATTGTTTATCAAGTATCGTGATATTCATTTGAGTAATGATCACTTCGTATTCACCTCATTCAGAGCCAGATGACGGCTAGATCTCAATTTCAAAACAAGAGAAAAGCCATAAGTTAAAACCCCAAAGGTGTATATATAAGAATTGGAACCACTGCAATGTCAAATGGTTGAAAAGTTTAGAAAAGAAGAGACAGTGTTGTAAGGATAAACGAATTCTTGGGCAGATTTGCGCTTCATTGTGGGAAAATGTGGGCAGGGAATCCTTCAGATCCAGCCCGGTTCATCCATTGGGAATCCCGCATTTCTCAGACATGACTGAGCGACCGGGCTGCTCTCAGGGGGGGCAAAAACAAAAGGATAATACCTCTTAGCTCTCGTATACAAAAAAGGTGATTATAACGTCACTTGAAATGCTCAACCCATGCTCAACCTAAATTGGACACTTTTAGAAGCGTTTTAACAACACTGGTATGTCAATTGTTCGTGCATGCTAGTCTAACGGCAATTGCAACGCAGCCACGTGACTCAGCTTAAATTGCCAATTTGACGATCTCGTGATCTCGTCAAAGGAACACTACCAAAATGGCCATTGTTCGTGAGTACACGAAATGCAGCCATGTGACTAGTAGCCTAATTGTCACGTTGATTGGGTCGCAGTGTCAGCTGTGCCTGGACTAATTTCTTCGCATCATGATGGTGCCAGCGGGTCTATGTTTGAATCTGTCGGAATATAAAGCGGGAAAGGTTTATTCCTTGGTGCTTGACTACCAGCAAAGGGAATAATAGAGCCTGAGGGTAAAAGGTCAACCTTCAGGCTTTATTCTCTCCGGTGAAAAAACGGGATGTGTGAAAGTTCGTGGGAAGGGATGCCATAAGTAATGGCCAGTTGTGTGAGCCTATAAAATACTTGAAAATAAACTCCCGTTTCTGGGGGATGAGAATCATTTCCATACGTCTCCATACGGGCCACCATTTACAGTGAGCCTGTGGACAACTTCAAAATGGCAGTTGTTCAGTCTGGTGCTTCAACGGTTACCAGTCTTTAAGCCCCGGTTCGACAGTTACCAGTATGAATTCAATGGCTTCTAGTCCAGTTTTAATGCAAGTCTGAATTCAGGAAGTAGCCTGTTTTAACTGTTAAGCCTGATGCGGCGGTTACTTTGAAGTCTGAATTTAACGGTTACCAGTTTGATTTCATCTGTTACCAATCTGAATTTAACAGTGACGTCTGAATTTGCGATTAGACCTGTTGACCATATTTGACTTATTCATCGCTTACTAATCCTCAGTCAGAGGTTACTGGTCTCAATTCAAGCTTTTATGAATATACAGGCACGTCCCCATCTGCTCAAAAACAAGCCAGCATTTATGAATCTCAGTTCGTCAGTTACTTGTTTTCCGTACTTAATTCAAAGTTATCAGTCCCCCCCCGCCCTGCCGACCTTGTTC